CTTTATTATTAAATCTAAATTAAATTATAATAAAAAATTGAATTAAAGAAATTATACAGAAAGTGAAAACTTTTAAATAGTTAATTTAATATTAATATCGATACATTTTTTTTCAATTTATATTTCGTTCAAAATAAAAATATTATCATTTTCTAAAACCACGTAAAACCGTATTATATCGATAGAGAAAATGAATACAATGAAACATTAAAATCGAGATATATCTTGCTGCATTGCGCGAGTACCCTTCTAATATATATATATATATATATATATATATATGTGTGTGTGTGTATTCATATTTATCTAAACTAGTCAATGGTTGTTTTCAACTAATAAGCTTAATGAGTGGTTAACTTATTTGGTTAAGATATATTAAGGTGTTAAATTTTAATTTAATACAAAGAGAGTGAGTTAACATGTTAAGTTAGTCCATCATATCTTAATGTATTAAGTTAATTTGTTTTCCAAGATTAACATTATGCTACAATTTTTAGTCACATGTCTCACTAAAAAATATATAGTTTTACCAACATATATGCATAAATTAAAAATTGTAATCAAATAATAATACTTATTGGAGTTTGTTTCAAATGCAACCCATCACATTTGTACAACCAATGTAACCTAATAAATTGAAATATTTATGGAAATGATGAGAGTTTATTTATTATGATTTAAATATTTATGGAAGATGAATAAGGTTCATTAATTATGATCAATACTTTATATTAGAAAACAATCAAAACTTCTATCAAATTACATATTCATCAAATTAAATGGACTCTTGAGATTGAGTTGTATTGGTTGTACAAATATAAAGGGTTGTATAATAACTCACCTCTACTTTATTGTTTTAAATATATTTTAAGTTATTAAGTATCGTAACACCCCTAAAATAAGAGTAAATTTAAACTGCTAAAAACAACTGGAATTAGCATCGACCATGTATAAATTTACCCATGAAATTGACTAAGAGCATTTACATCAAAAAGTGAATGAACAACCTACTAATATAAACCAATCTAAAGTTCAGATTACAAACAGGTGTCATTATCACCACCAAAAGAATCATGTCTAATCATAGCGCCAAATCATCAAAAGCTGCCAGTTCCAAAAAAGTGCCTCTACCAACATTGGACACTCTGCTCAAGCCTTGGGAGCTCCACCGCGTAGAGATCCTGATATATATATATATATATATATATATATATCATTTAAGATAAAGTGCTATGCTTAATGCCTAGTGAGATCAAATCGTTTATAAATAAAGTTAATAACATGAAAATAGGAAACATAAACCTTAAACCAAGGCAAAGGTCCAAGCACTGTATCATAAAGACTCTGATATCAACGGTACGTCTTGCAACGATGGGGGGATGCCAGATTTCTATTGATCGGTATAAAACACAAAAGTAGGCCACAAATCCATGTTATAGAGCTTATATTACGTAACATTAGTCATCAAGTTCAACCACCCACGGCCTATAGTACGAGTCCTCTAATGAACCAAGATATGCTCATTTGTTAGAATTAAGCCATTACCAGTTACACAGTCATCAAGTTCAACATCCACGATTTATAGTTCGAGTTCCCCGGTGATTCAATATGCGTATCTATCTATGTATGGAAACAATCATCCCATGAAACTCATAAATCGACTCCAATACCTATGGATCCATTACATTAGAGTCTATTAGCCTAATACTCAAAAGTATTCTAGATGTGTCAATCTATTCATAAATAAAAACGTGATATGTGAGTTCTAAATACTTCATTATTTTGGACACGATGGTTCATATCTTTTATCTAAGGTACAAAATCATCCGGTGAACAAAAAGTGGTGAAATTCCAAAATTTCCTGAATAGTCAATTAAATGGACATTAATCATCAAATAGAGAAAATATCAAGGGGAATGTTTAGGAGACTAAAACATAACATTTTAAAATCTGAAGAGGAATAATAATCCCTTTGTGGCCACAGAGGTGCAAATGCGGTGACTCCGAGATATCTGTAAAGCAGGTGGTTGCCTTGGGATTAGTCGGTTCGCATAGCGGGTTGGATATCCAGGTTAATAAAAAAAACATTTTAACATGTATAAAAGTTCAGAAAAGGTTAGAATGAACTCATAATACTACCTAAAAACCTTAAAAACGGTGCGAAGGATGAGATCTTGAAGCTTCGATCACCAAAAATTGAATCTTGCACTTAATGTTCTTATATGCCTCCAAAAATCACTAAAATGATGCCTTAAATGATTTAGGGTCGAAGTAAATGAATAGAGAATGAACGATGATGAGAGGTGAGGAGAAAAATGAACTTAACCTACTAAAATCTCCCCTTTTTACCCACTAGACATTTCACACGACCTTGTTTTGCGACCTTTAGGTCAGGGTGCAAGGGTCACCCGTGTTTTGACCAATTCAGAACCGAAGCTATTAGCCCGCACCAACACTGTTTCTCACCCGTCTTTGCTCTTTTTCAAGATTTATCTTGCAAGACTTACTAAGTTCATAATTTGATAGTTTATATATATATATATATAGAGAGAGAGAGAGAGAGAGAGAGAGTGGTTGGTTATTATACAACCATTGACATTTGTGCAACCAATACAACCCAATCTCAGCCGTCTATTTCATTTGATTAATATGTAATTTCATAGAAGTTTTGATTGTTTCCTAATATAAAGTATTGATCATAATTAATGAATCATATTCATCTTCCATAAATATTGAAATCATAATAAATGAACTCTCATCATTTTCATAAATATCTCAATTTATCGAGTTGCGTCGGTTGTACAAATGCGACGAGTTGTATTTGAAACAAACTATATATATATATATATATATATATATATATATAAAGTTCAAACGAGAATAAAGTTCATTATGATAACATTTTTTTACTATGGTCAATCACATGTAACATTATAGTCAATAACGTGTGATACTATACTAGAGACATGGGCGAAATTTGGCGAGTTCCGAGTCACAGGCAATCCCCGCACCACCGGATCCGTTAACTTGTATTATCAGATGTGATAATATTTATTAAAATTACATTTGTGACCCTATGCAACAATGTACATATACTTTATTTATTTATAAAAGCGGGTGATACTAAAGGGGTAACAAGCATCATGGAGGAGACGGCTCGAAATAAGCCTCCGGCGTCGCCATCGCCGCCGTGCCACCGGAGTTTGCTTCACTCCACGACCGCGGCTGCACACCAAGCACGAAGAATACCACCTTTTCCAAACCCGCAAACACTTTATACTCATCCAAAACCCTATTCCAAACCCCACTCACAATACAGTAACTGCTGTCACCTGACCGATGATGGGCAGCGTGCCGCGATTGAGCTATCACCACTCCGGCATCTTGCAGCGCCACCACCATCGCCGGCAGCTTGCTTTTACTCTCATGAGCCCATGCATGGATCTGCACAGCAAACAAGACGCCCCCACTAAACATCCCCACAAACCCCATCACCGCCGGTTGGTCATGCCAGATCAAATTCATCGGCGGCACCACATGCGTGATAATACGCGCCGCCACATGTAAGTTGCTGGAAAACTGACGTTTAGTGGTGGCCCATGGCAGTTCGTGGTGGCGCCGGAATGTGTCAATATGTGAACCAAGAATTGGAATTGAGAAATCGCCATAATTATCGAACACCCAATGGTATACACCGGAGAAAAGGTCAACGAACAAATAGCCGATGAATCCAGCCAAGATGGTTTTGAGCCATGTGTGTGAATGGGTGGAGCCGTAGACGACGGCGTTGGCTAGGGAAAACAGTACTGTGGTGCATCCGGTAGCCACCCATACATGGTGAGACCAAGTTGGGTTAAGGCTTGGGTCATGGAATGTGGGCGGAGTAATGAGTGGTGTTTGGTTGAGTTTCAACATTGCTGGCCGGAGTTTGTGATGGAACGGTGGTTGTGGTGGTGGCGTAAGGTGGACATTGGAAGAGTAGCTGCTGTGGTATATATAGATCAGATTGGAAGAGTCAAGAGTGGCTTGTTTGCATGGTTAATGGTTAATATTCAAATTTTATGGCCTATATATCTATACTATATTATAAAGCATTTGCCTAAAACTCTTAAAAACTCTTAAAACTCTTAAAAACTCTTAAACYCATTCATCCTTATCCGATTTCATCCCATATATGAATTCGTGTAACTAACTGCAGATAAACACAATCAAATACAGGATAAATGTCTCATTTTAAATCTAAAATACAATTAGTATAATCATTAAATTCTAACAGAATATTTAAGGGAAAAGTTCAAAAAAACCCAATGAACTTTACTATTTGGAATGATTAAGTCCTTGAAYAATTTTTTAGAACAAATAAATCCTTAAACATTTTAAAATATGTTAAATAAGTCATTATACTCTACAAAACCTACTAAATAGATCCTTATTCCTTAAAATATTAACCTGCAACCTGAATAGAAGGTAATTTAAATAAATAAATAAAAAACTTAAAAAA